TGCATTTAGAAAAATATAGCTAGGTATTATTATAAAGATAATATGCGAGGATACTGATCATTTACAGTGTTTAATAGTCTAATACATGTGTAAGGTAGAAGCTGAGGGCTGTTGTAGTTGATTTGGGATGGTTGTGGAGTGTTTGTGTCTCACCTCTTCTCTATGAATTCGAGACAGGTAGTTTACAAACAGGTTTTCGCCTCTCGTTGCCTGAAACATATCATGAGGAAAAATCTGATACTCAAGCTGAGCGTTAGAAATACTGAACTGTCATAATACTGAACACAGGCTCTCTTACAAAACCTAGTGCCCTGCTTAGACAACATTCTTGGCAATCAAAGACATGCACTGTTCCTGTTTCAAATGTACTAAAATTATGCTGCATATTTCTCACACAAGATGTTGGATGCCATTTAAGGAAATGTAAGTCACTGTTTTATTCAGCACGGAATCTAACTAAGAGTATGTTTGCCACTATTTGTATCTACAATGCATTATTTGTGCTTACAGTATCATGCATGTTTCACTGCATGCTTAATTCGTTGGGAGGCATTCAGTTATCAACTTGCATTTTCAAAAAAAAAAGTATTAAAATAAATTTTTGAAAGTCATCATAGTTGACATCACTTTGCATTGTGGGATATTGTAATCTAGACAGTGTTTTTACTAATGTATTTCACACATACAGAAAATTCACATACTATACATAACATACAAATTTCATACACGCATACTAGTATCCCATCTAATAGGGAATGCTCTAAGAACACTGCAGAAAAAAATGTCATAACTTAATGGAAACATCAGCAAAATGTTCAAATAGCTTTAAAATATTCAAAACGTTCATTCTTTTTAAATGTTCAGAAACGTTTTTGTAACTAATGAAAACGTTAGCAAAACATTCAAATAATGTTTTTAAAACATTCTAAACTTGATATTATTATTAATGTTTATAATTTAAAGGAAACGCAGGCAAAATGTTTGAATAACATATTTGTAACATTCAAAATGTTTAGTTTTTTAAATGTTCAGAGAACATTCAGAAATAATGTTTTCATAACTTAACACAAGAAAAACATCATGTATTTTTGTTAGTGCTGCGTGTCCTGTTACCTGGCATCCTTCAGCAGTTGTGTTCTTCTTGTAATCAGCAGAGCAGGTGTCAGTATTGGTGCTCAGGTTCGTACTGGTGTTTGAGTTATCAACGAGCTCCTGCTCCAGTGAAACGATCAGTGTCTGCAGCGCCAGCTCTGCTAGAACCCCGCGCTGGTCAGAGAACATCAGGTGATTGTACGGGATGCCGTACCCGACAGGATCATACGCACATACCACGTTAAGAAGAGAGGTGAAGAGCGGCAGGGCATGTCTGACAGAGAGAGAGCAAACCTTAATTGCTGCATTACCAACAAATAATAACAAATGAGCGTATATGCATCACCTGTTTTCTCTAGAGCAAAAGAACGAGACCCAGGGGTTGAGTGTGTGTGTGTCAGATGGAGACTGGTACATTTCTTCTGAGAAACATGTCAATAAAAGCTTCAACAACTCTGTCCTGAGAGAGAGAGAGAGAGAGAGAGAGAGAGAGAGAGAGAGAGAGAGAGAGAGAGAGATAAATACTTAATATTTGTAATCATCAAGGAGGATGCAATAAACGGATAAAAAATGAGAGCAGACATTTATAAAGATTTCCATTTCAGATTAAT